ACGATCCCGACATTGCAGCTTCCTCGAGGGACTGAAATAAAATTTCTGAGAAAAAAACGCCAGATCACATGTTTTTGATGTTGCCAGATCTTAGCAGTTACTTTGGGGAATTTAAGTTTTTTTTCAAAAGTGAAAAAACAATATGTTGACCACCTCTTTGACAATTACTCCCAAGTTGCAATAAGAGTAGATGTTCCTTTAACACTTCAGGAAACACAAATAGTGCCCTTTCTACAGGAGTGCTCTTTGCACTGAGCAGTCTCAGGGGAGCATTTTAAAGTCAAGCTTTGTATGCACTTCTGTTTAACAACCCAAACTACACAACTTGAATTGTCCTGAGAGCGTATACCCCGCCTGCTGTGTGCTCCTGCTAACAGTTAAGGTTATCTGCAGATACTGTTTGGCCCTGGTCTGATCCTGAGCCACCTCCATTGATTGAGTGTTGTTCTTCCTCCCTCCTTCACTGTCCTCTCTCTGCAGGTCCCAGCTCTCATCGCTGCCCCAACACTCCAAGTTAGTCCGCTATCTCACCTACTGTGTATTTCCCACACATGCAGTCACTCGTCCTCCCCCACTCCCACCCCCCCCCCCACCCCCACCGATCACATTCCCCTCGATGCAATCCTGACAGACATCACAAGCCTCACAAGCTTGTAGCCTCTGGCGCTCTATGGGATGCAGCGGTGTCCTCTCCCAGCTGTGAACTTCCCACAACACCTTTTTTTGGTGCAGAAGCAGAGGACTAGATGTTTTCAAGGACAGTTGAGCAGTGCGGACAGTTACTCGTGCTGTACATCAGCCTTGTTATCTATGGCTTCACTCTCCATTTACCCACCAACATAGCCATAAAGGACCTGGCTGAACACATAAAAACACATACACTAATGTGTCTCTGTGTGATAGTATTAAATTAGTGTAATTGGTCAGGTCTCATCTTGTGCAGTGGCCATAGTTACCCGCCATTAGCCGTTAACATTACAGTAATTATGAGCTGAAAACGTGACCCGTGACCCTACAGATGTGCTCTGCCAAAGGATGTTAATATTTATACCTTTATGGTCTCTCTGATCTCTGTGTGACTTCAGGCGACATGTAAGTTTAATGATGCTCCCCGTATAACTTCAGAGCCCCTTCATGTGTCGCATACAGTTAACTTTGAACACATGAGGCAAGTTCCCAACAATCCGTTTAAGCGCAGAGCCTTGCCAAGTTCAGAGGCACAGGGGGAATTTGTGTCGGTAGATTAGCAATAAATCATCCAATAACCCAGCGATGAGAAATCTAGAGAGAGGCAGGGGGGTTGTTTGAAATTAATCCCAGCCCAAGCACTCCAGGCTGGGCCAGGAGATAGACCATTGTTGAGAAAGAGATTTTCAAAGAAATGAATTTTGGCTGGTGACCAGTCAGTTTTTTTTCCCCCTCCCTGGGAAGTGACAGTGTGACTGATCTGTAGAGACTTGTGGGTTCCTTCTCTGATCCCACCTCTGCCACCGATTGAGCGCTGTGGAGTCAGAGAGATGTCTTTCCTCCCGCTTCCTTCCAGGAGCATGCTCACCCAGTCACTCATGTGTATTGCCTCTGCCAGCCCCACCTCTGTCCTCCTCACTTAGCATGACGACATCACCAAATGTCACCAAATGTCACCAGCCTGTTTCAACTTGTGAGCTCTCTCTCTCTCGCTCTCTCTCTCTCGCTCTCTCTCTCTCTCGCTCTCTCTCTCTCCCTCCTCTCTCCCTCTCTTCATGCATTGTTGAACAAAGTGCACTCTCTTCACCGTTACACAGCCACCTCATGGTCCCACTGGTAGCCTCACTCACCCCGTGGTCCAACCAGTGTTTGGTGTAAGTCCATGTGCATGTCTCATGATGTAAGAACAGCCAGATCTCATTCTTATTTTCTGTGTTTCCCCCCCCCCCTCTTTCCTACTCCTCCTCCTCCACCTCCTCTCCCAGGAATGAGGGAGCACCCACCAATTCCTGTCGTTGACCTGTCTGACCACATTGAGCGACTGAAGGCCAACGATGGCCTCCGCTTCTCCCAGGAGTATGAGGTAAGAGCTCGGCATTGCTGCAGAATTAGTGTTTCCCTTTTTTTAAACATATAAATGAGTTTCTTTGTTATCTTGTCTGAGATGAAGGTGTCTGTTTTTGCCTCTCAGATCCTATATTCATGTGTTCTAATGGATTATGGAAGACTTCTTTCGCAGACATTCTTCAGTTATTTTTACAACTCTATTACCATTCCCACTAGGACACCAACACTTACATTAAATGCTGCGAGATGCTTTTTCACGAAAACTAGCAGGTGGCGGGTTGCTTAAGCAATCTGTGTGTGGCTTGATGTTTCCCCTAAGAATGTTATTTTGCAGGCGGTCTCTCCGATGCGACTCGGTGAGGGATTATCTCTTGTCAGTGTTCTCCCTCAGAAAAGAGTTAGCACATTTGCATTTAAAGTGCCACATAGTCGGTTTGGGGACAAAAGCAAGGCCAGATGAAGACGAGCGGCATCCTTGAATACTGAAAAACAAGAGCTGTCTTTTATTTAGTTGTCCTGATTGTTCGATCTGTTTTGTGTAATCAGCGCTATTCTTCACATTGATGGATACGACAAGGCAGCAGGAATGATTGTAGATCTTTTGGTGTGTGTTTTTTTTGTTTGTTTTTGTCCTGAAAGGTTATTTGAGTGCCTCAGTCTGTTTTCCATGGCCAGCATATGTTGCTACAGGATGAAATCTGCTGTGCAATTTCACACTCCTGAGAGTAAAAAACCAACCGATTGTGGTGACCTCATAACCTTCCCCTAAGCAACACCGCAAGCCAAAACTTTAGCCGACATGTTCTTGCTGTTCTGTTGCCTGCCCTGTCCAGTGATGACTGAAAATAAAATACCATTTGATAGCTTTACATAACCAATGAATCATCTTCCCAGTGGTATTGCCTACGTGAGAGAAATAATTTGAAACTATCCAAAGTGCTTTTTTTTTTTAACTTTCAATGTTACAGTACTTTGTCTCATATGAGTGTGGTTTTATTCATTCAGATTTCACACAGGATCTTTTCTCAATTGTAGTATTCCCAGCTGAAATTAAGAAATACAACAGCCTCCATAAGGTTATGGAGTGTTGTGTTTTTGTTTAAACTGTGGGTGGTGTTGATTAAACATTTTGGAGGATGCAGTCTGTCGTGCTGCTAAATTGTGTTCAGTCTTACTGAGAGCTCTTTCTTATCATCTGTTTGCCTCCTTTATATCAACGACAACAGAGGAAAGATATGAAGAGGTATGGTTTGGAATACAAATCTGTGAGAGGGAGTCGTTATAATGCCAGAGGAAACATACATTCATTTTGATCTTGGAAACAAGTTTGAACATTTTATAAAACAGTAGCGTCTTTCTGTCAGGTTTAGTGTAAAACTAACAGCTAACAGGGGACGTAATTAAGCTTTGGTAAAATTCTGCACTCATTTAAGATCTTTCTAGTGGAGCTCAGTGCCCCTCTAGTACATCCCGGATGGTTGAGTTAGTATAAACAAATCAAGCCAGAGAAGTGGCTTGTAGGACTGCAGACACCCAGCCCGTCTGCATCCCCTCTCTGTACCATTCCAAGCCAGGGAAGACCCCCTCCATGGCCCGGCAGATGGCCGCCCCTCTCTGCGCCAGCCAAGGCGCTGTGGCAGAGCTCATGGTGCTTTGTCACAGTCACGTTCACCGGCTGCTCCTGTTGCGCCTTCCCCAGAGGCCCCCAATTCTTCCAGGCTTCACCACCTCCTCTCCCTGAAGTTTCAGGCGGCCTGACACTTCCTCTACTACCAACGCCAGTCCGCATCACACTGAGAAATGTGCACTCTGGGTAATGAGCAGAATTTGTCAATCAGGCATGCTGCGGCTGCCCCTGACAGTCGTTTTACTGCAGGAAGCATTATCGCGCCGCAGTCGTCATACAGTAGCATCATTAAGATCATTTGAAAAGCATTTCCAGTGTGTCAGCGAGAATAACTAGGGCGTTTGCTTTTCACCTTTTTTATTTTGCCAACTCTAGCTAACTTGGTTGCTAGTTGTCAACCACCTAGTGGACTCTGTTCACCGAGCACTCAAATAGATATGAAATGTTTTGACTGCAAATGAAATCTTTCTCTTCGTACTGGCCGTCACGGGCAGAGAAATTGGCACGGCTGAGCTCATCAGCAAAAAAAAAAACACACTCACATGACTACTGCTGAGCTATTTGGAGCTGTAGTGGAAGATTTCTTGCATATATATTTTTTTATTTTTTTTAGCACATCCATGGCTTTCTCTGAGGTAGTCTAGAATAGTTTATACAAATGTGGCTCCTGTGGTGCCGCTCCATAGGACAGCGTGAGGTTTCTTTCCATCTACCTGTTTTTATGCGACATCTTCAATGTGCCAAAATCAGAGACATTTTAGAAATGCTCATATGGATCACATTATCACAAAGTACAACTGAAACAGATTCAGGGATTTATTCATTAGGAAATGTGGGACTGAAATGTCTAGTCGTTATGTTAAGCAAATACTTATCTGCATAGACCAACATCTAGTATTCTCTGAACTGTAGTGGCTGGAAACTTGCATCAACATGCATTCGTTTGCTAGAACAATTTACGGATGAACATGTGGTTATTGTCAGAGCTAAGAAGGGACTGTATATTCTTTTAGTTAATCAGGTTAACAACACTTGCCTCACTTTTAGATCAGCAAAACACCTGGAAGACGCTTTACAAACGTGCTTTTTCATACGTCACCCTATAGCCCAGGATCCTGATTTAAACTCTCCACTGACCTCACACTGCACCCTTTTTTTTTTATCAGTTATCCGATATTTATGACCATTACGTCTGAGCTGTCAGTTTGTGAAAACAAGCAAGCTCCAATAATTAAACTTGTGCTAAAGCCGTGTTAAGTAAGTGAAGGAATTTGGAAGGTGTCATTGTGACTCCTGCTGGATTTGTGAGGCGAAAGGTCTGGGGAATTAGTGGACATGGTTCCGGTGTGAGCTGAGGGGGGGGGATCGATACAGAATAACAAGAGACTCTGTGACATTATCGAGCCAAGGGATGGGAGGCCGTCACATATCTCACCAGATCAATATGTATGCAGTCTACTGTCGTCTTAGCCCGAGAAACAAATGGCACAGGAAGGGGAGGGTTTAGAAACAGAGAGGCTGAAACAAAAGATGAGAGACAGAGGCAAAAAGAAATAGAAGATTAGAGAAGAAATGAAGACAGGGGACTGGAGGAATCATAGCTCCTGCAAGACGTCGTGCATGTGACTTCTCAGAATCAGGTAATTCAATAGGACAAGCATGAAGGGAGAGAGTTCGGACAAAAAGCTCCTCTCATTTTTGAGGTCAAATGTGCATTGTGATCCTGCTGGGGGAAGACATTGAAGGAAAACGTAAGTTGGCTTTCCTGTTGACTCAATGGCCTCTTTGTTTGTTTTATTATTGATTTAAAAATCATCAAAACGTGACCTCTGTATTTCTTCTTCATTGGCATGCAAATGTCATGCAAATTATAAATGTGTTCATGCACAAACAGCAGCAGCAGTTTAACCAGCAATATGGCCGCTCCTTTTCTCATAGCTTGTTTCTTACAATCTGCAAAAAAACACTTACATGTACCTGTCTGCACCGCCCGCTGTTTCTTTTCATGAGACATGATGTGGGTGTATGTTCCATTTAAAGCTTTGTTGTCCCTAGTAGTCTGCTGTTGAATCGGGTGACAGCCAACAGTGGGGTTATTATGGCCTAAACCCTCCTGTCTAATCCCATTTTATCCACAAAAGACTCAGGAGAATACTTCTGTTTTCCTTTCTTACCTTCTTTAGTGTCTCTGTCCACTCTCTCATAATTGCTCTCTCTCTCTCTCTCTCCCATCTTTGTGTTTCTTTTCTCTCCTGCCCTCTCTGACAGTCCATTGATCCTGGCCAGCAGTTCACCTGGGAGAATTCCAACATGGAGGTCAACAAGCCAAAGAATCGCTATGCAAATGTCATTGCCTATGACCACTCCAGAGTGGTGCTCACCTCTGTGGACGGTAAGAGCTTATGTAGCCACTTAACCTCTTATTTAGCCGTTGACTGAGGTTCCCATTGATTGAGACCTTCTTCACAAAGACCAAGGATGTTGTAAGCCTGCAGCTGCTGCTTTAGAAATCTCCAGTTTTATCCACAAAACATGTTTAAGATGTTTTTTCAGCCTTATAGAGTATTCATCATAGAGTTGTCAATAGAATTTGTTCCGGAGAAAATCTGTTACTACGAGCAGCTTCATTAAGGTCAAAAAAACTCTAGTCGATTCTGTAGTTGGGTAACATTCCTCACGTCTTGTCTTTGTTTCAGCGGTTCCAGGCAGCGATTACATCAATTCTAACTACATTGACGGCTACAGAAAGCAGAATGCCTACATCGCCACTCAGGGGCCGCTGCCAGAGACTCTGAGCGACTTCTGGAGGATGGTGTGGGAGCAAAGATCCAACACCATTGTCATGATGACCCGGCTGGAGGAGAAGTCACGGGTAAGCAAACACTGACCTTCATCAACATTTTGTTTCTCAGGATATTATTCATTTTTTTCAATGTATGAAATTAAATCAAGAAAATGAAAGTGCAACTTCATGCTAAATATTGTCCATCTTTATTTAAGATAAGCCAGTGAATGTAAAAGCCAGGAATACATTTTACTGTTGTCATAGGTTGTCAAAACACCTTGCATTCAGTAAACTAATGTCGTTATTCCACTTCCTTAACCGATATACCTAACAGCCCAACAGGTGGCTGCTATGAATAGAGCAGGACTGCCTTCCTAGGAGGACAAAAAAAAACCTTCTAGTAAAACTTAAAGCCATTGAAGTTGAAAGTTCTGTGTTGTACCAGACACTCAGTATTTTAAAGTTGAAATATGGCTCAAATTGGAGTTTCCTGGCGTATAGAGTGTGTGTATATACTTGTGTAGCTCAAGACCAGAGAAGTAACATTACACCAAACGAAGCCTGAAGGCATATAGAAGCCCGGTCCTACTTTAAAGCAGGATTTGTCAGCCTGATCAAAGTCACAAGGACTTCAAAGGATAGTTGTGGTTGTCTGTGGACAGTATCGCTTCATGTTGCTTCTCTTTTCCCTGAGTCTCCAGCAATCTTAAAACTTCTGCATGAATTTCTCCTCAAACTGTTTGTGTGAAGTTAAACTGCAAAACAGCTTCTTCTTTCTTTCTGTGTTTTTTTTTTTACCAGTTCCCATTCTCCCTCCTGTTGTTAGTGCTTCCCTTATGTTTGACTTACTTTGGACACTCTGCATATGATGGAAACACGTTTGCCCTCTCTCAAGACAAAAGGAAACGTCTTCTGTTATTTTACCAGCATGTGCAGGGTAGTCACACATATATTCATAATAATGCAAATTCAATCCAGTTCATTATATAGACACTGCTCTGAGAGCTCATTCCTGATTGTTTCATATTTATTTTTGCAACACCGTGCCAAGGTTGCATAGACATAGAGTGTCTCATTTATGTTTGCTCTTTTTGTATCCGGCTCTCAAAGCCAAGTAGCTTTAATGACATTCTGTACTTGGAGTTAAAAGGATTGTCACCCGTGTGCTCCTATAAATACATTCTTTTAAAAAGGAGAACATGGGCAACTTCAGATTCAAAATTGGGATAGTTTTTTTTAATTACCATCACAAAATCATGCTCATGAATTCCTTGGAGCAAATAAATCAGCACAAGGCCTGCCAGTATGTTGTGCTTTATTATTGAGTGCAATACGTTGGCCTAATGAAAGAGAGTCCCAAGACAGGAGACTGAAAGTAAAAGAGATCGTAAATGAAAGAGTTCATTTCCAAAACCCTTGGCATTGATTTTTTTTTGGGACAGTGGGGAGGTGGTTGATTACCTAAAGCTACGTTCATTATTCAGTATCTACAGAGAGTCTGTAAAAAAAAAGAAAAAAGCAAGCATATACATAAACTACTTTCCATTCTTACAATCAAAACATCATCTGTTTTGATTCCATGCAATCAATCATTTAGGCAAATTGTGGGCCAACTATGTCTTTGCAACAGAGCTCATTAGTTTGTACCTCGGAGAATTTTCGCAGCACAGATATGTTTTTTCAGATCATTTTTATTACTCAGTCAATCTCAGCGAGGATACACACATCCCTCCCCAAATAGCTCTTTTTATTAAGTGTGTCTGAGTGGCTGTTTCAGAGCTCTATGACTGATGACCACCCTCTCCTGCTTTGATCTCAGACTCACAGCCACACACACTGTTCATACATGGGGACAAAATAAATGAAAGAGCTCTCAGCCTGTCCCCACCTCCTACACACATTTAAGAACCAATTGGCTTGCCATAACTGTGGAGAAAGATGGAGAGAACCAAGCTTGCCTTCCAACAAGGAGGGCTGGAAGCACTCGTAAGTTAAACAAAGTGCAGTTCCTCGAGTGTCCTCTTGAGGCTGGCTGCGAAAGCCAATGAATCCCCATTAGAGTCCATGTTAAAAAGCAATTTTTACAGCAGATCAAAATATGTTTAGAACCTGGTTCAAAAAATGGTTCTGGTCTGTACATCTCATTTCTTTGTTGATACAAACTAAACAGGGGATGCAGTTTTTACAACTCATCCGTTTTGATAATATTGGAGCTAAGATATATGTACATTTGCATAATTAGAGGCGTGTCTAAATTGGCTAAAAAGGCAAAAAGGCCCCAAAAAATATCTTTAAAAAATATGGCGACCACCACCCTGTCCTCATAACGCCTCTTCAGAAATGACACACAATAAAAACCTCCACTGTAATAAAGAGGGGAAATAAGTTGAATTAGAATGAGCAGAATTCATATGACATAAACGTCTGTAACAATTGTTTAAGGAGTATTTATAATGAACAAAAAAGGAAACTAAAATTGACTTGAAATAATGAAATTGCTTCTGCATGAGTACCAAAAATATGTTCTATAATATGGAACACTGTTAGACTGCAAACCAGACAAACAATGTTTGCAATCTTCACTAAGCATTAAATGAGACAAGTCACCACAAAAAGCCGTCTGTGCTCCCGATTAAACACGTGATGTTGATACATTTTTAGGGATTTTGTTATTTTTTTTATTCTTCCTTAACATAAACAAACATCCTCTGTCTAATTCTCGCTCACATACACACTCAGAAGTACACATATGGTGAGTGAGTCAACCTCCCACCACCCAGCCAGACTGATGTCTTTGCCAAGCGGAGGAGCATGACAAATATGATGAGATCCGACAGCAGGAAAATTTCAGCTTCCTTTAGCAATATCGTTACTAGTTAGTGAAAACCTTAAAAGACTGTGGACTTCAAATGAGCCCGGAGGTATTACTCACTTTCTGTGTGTGTGTGTGTGTGTGTGTGTGTGTGTGTGTGTGTGTGTGTGTGTGTGTGTGTGTGTGTGTGTGTGTGTGTGTGTGTGTGTGTGTGTGTGGATAAGAGGTCTGTGTCCTCTGCAAAAGGCCAGGTGTTGACATGTGAGAAGCCAGCTTCAAAGCAGACACAGATGATAGTGAAACCTGTGTGTGTGTGTGTGTGTGTGTGTGGGTGTCTTTCTCTTTATGTGTGTGTGTTTGCAAGGAATAGAATATGCCACCCAACCTTGGATAGCACAGAGATATTCATTACTGTGGTGACTGCTAATCCATATGTTTGTACTGCAAGTGGTTCCCCATCACTCAATTGAGTTTCTGCTGCGAGCTCTACCTCTGCCTCTGAATGGGAGCTGTCACCGGGGGAGGTGAAATGTGAGGGGGTGAATTTTAGCGCATTTTGTCTGTCGATTTGTACCAGCTCCCTGAGACAGCCGAGGTGCCTCCAAATGTCAGCTCTGTGCTGCAGTATCAATATAATTAGCTTACCCGCGCCACATCTCTTCCTGCCATGTTGTCCAAATCAATAGCAGGAAGTCCTAGTCCAGGAAATTCCAACGTTAAAACACATTCTGCTTTTGCTTTCTTTCTGAATGTAAACAGAGGGTTTTGCTGACATGTCTATGAAATTATGAATTTTCCCCATACACATAAAATGTAATTTTCTTAAACTGACTGCCTTTGACTGATTGAAAATGGGCTCAACTTCAACTGAACCTGCCTTACAAATTCAGGACACACGTCGCAAGCTCTTTAGGTTCTCTATATTTCATTCTTCACAACATCCATCAAGCCCTGAAGCTAGAAGAAAGACCAATCAGCTGGCTGTGCCTAGTGTTTAGATAATGATGTGACTCATCGCTGCTAGAAAAACTCACAGACCCTGTGAACAACTATTAGGTGTTATAAAAATCAAACGGAGCATGATTGTGCAACTGCATGACCTATTTTTGACTCCGAAATTATTCGGCAGCAGTTTAGGACACATTTCTCCAACATTTCCTGAACAGACGCCTTATTACTGCTGTTTGCAAACTAGAGCCGAACTCGAGACGCAGCCACGAGTGACTTTCATCAATCACAGGAGGAAGAGTTCTGTAAATGTTTGACGAAGAAGTCTAATTTTCAGAGTTTGTTTTCGTTCCATTTTAATGGCCATTGAGGTTTGCCAAAAGAGAGCGAGTAAAGTGAAAATGTAACAAAACTAAGTGTGTCGTTTTCAGATACATGAAGTGAAGACACTTAGAGCCAGTGTTTGGAGGACCTTTAGCCTCGTCAAAAGTGAAGTTTGTTCTGTGTACAAACGCACCAAAGGGCTGAAAAGCACCTGACAATTAGCTAACTGAAAATGATCACAGGCTGCTAAAAGACAAAGTGAGCTTTTTAATGCCCTTTTGAAGGCTGCTTCAAATGCAGACACACATGAACGCACATGCTCAGCTCACTTTGTTTTCATTCTTTAGGAGATACAGGAGCTGACTGCCGGTCTTCAGTTTTTAATTAGGCACTGGACAGGGCTTTTGATCTGACCTCTCTAATGTTCCCTCCTTGTTAATCAGTGTGATCCTACAAGCCTCTCGGTAGTCTCACAGTGGATGTTAGCGGCGGTTCACTCCTGACAGTGTGCCCTTTCTCTTGCCCTGCCAGGTGAAGTGTGACCAGTACTGGCCAGCGCGAGGAACAGAGACCTACGGGATGATCCAGGTCACCATGCTGGACACCGTGGAGTTGGCTACTTACAGCGTCCGAACTTTTGCCCTCTACAAGGTACAGCGCTGCTTTTTTCATTTGCAGTTAACCAATACTTGGAGACGTCCTCATAAAGTGGGAAATTGCTGTTCATCATTACCAGGGTCACATTTTAAAAAGTAATTTCTGAATCTTCTGAAGTCAGATAAAGGGTATTACCACTGGAATCTTTTTTTTTTTCAATGCAGTAATTGGTTTTTAACATCCAATATTTGTCTCTTGTTCTCTCAAAAGGCAATAAAAGATTTCAGTTTTCCACTTTGATTCGTGTAACTCAGGACCATGATGATGTGTCTGATGTTCCGTCCTTTATTTCTCCTCTACTAGCACTTTTTCCATTACTTGCTTATAATTTCATTATTATAATTTCTAATTAAATACAAGTCTCCAGCTGGAGCCATTATTTGGTTTCAATCAGGAGGAGTGATAAAGTGCTAAAACTGTATTTGAGAAACTGCTGGAGTTCTATTCCAATGTTATATGTGTACACGTTATCTGCACCTCCAGCGGTGAAAGTAGAGCACATGATGTACTGCTATTAAGTGAGTCAACTCCAGACCTTTTCTAAAAATATCTGCATTTCTGACAAGTACATCCCAGCTGCTATTCAAACTTAACTATATACAATCAGCTTTCTTTCATCAAGTGTGACCTTACACTGGATGAAACATTTCTGCCAACCTGACAAGTTCCTCTTCAAAAAGCTGCCAATTAAAATTCACAACGTCAGGGTATTCAACCACGCTCAAACCTTTTGTTCTTCCCTGACCTCTCTGACCCACCTGCAGAACGGCTCCAGTGAGAAAAGAGAGGTGAGACAGTTCCAGTTCATGGCCTGGCCAGACCACGGCGTGCCAGAGTACCCCACCCCCATCCTGGCCTTCCTCCGGCGAGTAAAGGCATGCAACCCTCCGGATGCAGGACCCATGGTGGTTCACTGCAGGTGGGTGTAAAAAAGGAACACGCTCAGTATGTGTTCACAGCAGATGAACTGCTCATTTTCACCATCACCTCGTGTTCATGGCATGTTTCCTCCATAGTTATTTATTTTATTTTCTACATCTGTGATAAGTGCCAAGGCCCTATAAAGGACGATGTTTGTACGTACCATATGCTGCAGACGGTCTAAATCCTCTCCGGATGCTTCTGCAAACACAGACTTGCAGCTACAGGTTTTATTATGGCTGTGCTATTACGCTACGAAGAGTCAATCAACTTAGCTCAAAGGTATACTCTCCTGTTTTCATCTGCCTGGCATGGACAGAGAACATAATCCTATTCTTAATGCACCCTAGATGCACCTCATGTGTGATATGTATAGCTGTATGACCACAATCTAGTGCTGCAACTAGAAATGATTACAGGTAGAAATGATTATTCTGATTATGATTCATTATTTAATGTTTTCAATGAGTTGTTGTTAAAAAAAAATAATATTAATTTAGACAGTTTTTGCTTGAAAAATGAATGATCAATGAATTTGGCCACTAATTATTTTTCTATCACTTAATTGATTGGTGTTTGCAGCTCTTATACATTAAGATGAACAAACACACGTTATTATTTTGAGTTACATGTTGATACAAACAAATACAATGCACGCAAAGCCTGAAGCGTGTAAACAATGGAAAGAGTCTGAAGGTTAATAATGAAGGACTTACATGTATCTTGTATGGTAAATTCTCATGGCCATTATATATCCTCTAAATATAATATAATAATAAACATTTGAATTCTCTCTGTAGATTTTGTTATTCTGAGTAGACAGACATATAAAAGTTTTTTTTTCCATGAAACATGAAGTTTATTTACCCCTTCTTGCTCTCTCCCTCTCTCTCCATCAGCGCGGGCGTGGGCAGGACTGGCTGCTTCATTGTGATCGATGCCATGCTGGAGCGCATGAAGCACGAGAAGTCTGTAGACATCTACGGTCACGTGACATGCATGCGTGCCCAGAGGAACTACATGGTCCAGACTGAGGACCAGTACATCTTCATCCACGAAGCCCTGCTGGAGGCAGCCACCTGCGGCAACACTGAGGTGCCGGCACGTAATCTCTACGCCCACATCCAGAAGCTCACCCAGCCCCCGCCCGGCGAGACGGTTACTGCCATGGAGCTCGAGTTCAAGGTGAGTGAGAAGCACTCGGCTCAGACGAGAATTACTAGAGGCTCTTTTTGATGACTTAGTCAGGGTAATAAATCACATTTAAATGTCTACCAAAGCTGAAGCTGACTCCTGCAGGATTGAACTTTACAACACACTGCCTTTCTCTGCTCTCATTATTCAGGTTCTCTGGTTAGTTTGCATAGAGGACCTTGTTACACCTTACAGAAAGATATATCTCATTAAAGAAAGTTCAAAAAGTAATGTTGCCAAACATTCAAATTAATTCAGTACAGGATCCTGATCAGATCAAGCAAATAAAAATGAAAAACTTTATTCATTTTGATTTGCCATGGACAGATCTAACAGCTTACAATAGGACAAAAGTTTAGCTTACAAAACGTTCATTGTAATATTTTTTGACGACTATTTTCATATGTTAAAGAAAATCTCTTTTAGATCTTTGTTGTTTAATCTCTTAAACCTAACCTGATGAATTTAAATCAACGAACAAATGAAAGTTTTGAGAAAACAAAGTGAGCTTAAGTTCAAAGCAGTTAGGCTCATGGCCCCTGAAGCATCACTAAACAGCTCCCAGAGAACACAGATATTTTACATTTAATTGCCTTATTCAGTGTTTTATTGGTTTAATCACTGGGTCCAGTTGTGTTGAAGAGAAGAAGAACCTGCAGTGGGTCGAACTGACTGCCAGTCTGTACAACAAAGTGTCAGGAGGAATACAGACTGGTTGTAATAATCAGTACTTTGAAGGAATATAAGTGAAGTGAAATGAAGTTTAACCCATGAAACCTCCTGTTTCTTCCGGCCTCCATCTATTTATTACATGTTCCAAATTGGCAGCATCAAACTGTATAACAGGACAAATGTGGATATTGCTCAATTAGAAAAAATTATGGTCATCGCCAAGCCCTAATTCTGCATGTTTTTCTCATTCCAATCTGATTTGCGAGCACCAGATTGTCAATCGGGCATCAGACTGCAGTTGGAATAGTGACCTTCTATCCACAGTGTCGCTATTTCCAGGCTGATTTAAACTAATTCACAAAATCATTAATTTGCCAAATAAGCCAATGCACAGTAATCTGCTTAGGTGACATTGGTGCTGAGACATTCAGGTAGCTACAGTAGCATCACATGTTACAGGGGACAAATGTACCAGAACAAACACACATTAACACAAACACACCGACACACCATGACTGTCACTGACACATACACACAGCTGGTGTTCAAGGTGACTCGCAATCACACGCACACCTTCTGTCAATAGCCATCAACTGTGATGTTATTACACACTTTCCTCCCAGCGCGTCTCTGCCATTAGCCCTCTTATGACCATGATCCATTCTGTTTGAAGTGATAATAGCATCTCCACTCCTGCCAACCACAGAGAATGAAAGAGTGAGAGAATGATTGCGGCGTATGTGGGGGCCACAGCCTCGGTGCCCACACAGTCTGGCCACACACACACTATACTGGAGTACTATGACTGTCCGCACATACTCCTGTTCTGTCCATCTGTGCTCCGTCCACTGCCAGCATCGAGCTTGTCCCGCCCACAGTCCTCAAAGCCTCGGGACTCCATGACAGACAAGTCCTCTGCCGTTAGCTGTACCTAGCAACAGAATCTTCTTATTGCTCCTGACAGGAAACGTAGCGTCTAAATAGAGATTGTCAAGTCATTGTCAGATGCTTTCTTGTTTGTTTACTTCAGGTCACAGGTCACTAATTTTTTGTTTTTTGTTTTTTTTACTCCCCGTCTCTCTCCCTGTCTGCTTTCTTCACACCTTTCATTAAACAGAGACTGGCAAACTCCAAAGCCCACACGTCACGCTTCATCAGCGCCAACTTGCCCTGCAACAAGTTCAAGAACCGCCTGGTCAACATCATGCCTTTCGAGTCCACCCGCGTCTGCCTGCAGCCCATCCGCGGCGTCGAGGGCTCCGACTACATCAACGCCAGCTGCATTGACGGCTACAGGTCAGCCAAGGCTTCAACTATAAGATCTGAGCTGAATGTAATGACTGTGATGTGTAGGCGCTGACGTTGAGCTTTCAAGGACGAGTCCGTATGAAAAGAAAGGAGTTCATCATATAGTAGTTCACAATTTCAAATCCCACACCATCTTATCCTCTTATCCCTAATGTGTTTCTACTGGAGGTGTGAATCTTTAGAAAATTAGACAGGACAATGTTTGTTGTTTATGATATGATCATAGATTAGAGTATGTGTGGACTCAAATTGAACTACAGTGTGTCCATTGAAATGGAGGAATATGTCACTCAGTGAAACAGGGCGGTTAGTTTTCATGTTGTTTTGGACAAAATTTAGCACTTTGTCATAAAGAGACGAGTTAAGAATCAGTCTATTCCTTTTATGGTTTTTGGTGGTGTACACCAGAGGTTTTAAGAAGTGGACTTTTGGTTTCAATCCTGCATTCTTTGTGATGGTCAGCAGGGGGAGACTACAGTGGATGCAAAAATGTTGTCTGATTGTTTAAACAGTTCAGGGGGGAAAATCCCCCTCCTTTTTATTCCATTATTTTCTAAGGTGTTTTCATGGCTAGTGTGAACAACATGTTCATGTTCTTTAATTTTAAGTCTCATTTACAGTAAAGTTGACAATAAAGCAAGTATGCTTCATCCCTTCAGGGTGTGGCTACATGTCAACCAGAATAAAGATGTAATGCAAATCTATTCTGTTGTTCAAACATCAAGATTCAAAACATTTTCAAAACATTGAACGGCCCAAATGCCAAATTTGAGGCTTCTATAGAGGAGTTCATAAACAATTTGATGTTGTTGTAATAACTAAGTCCATGTCTGGTATACAGTCTATGGTGTTCACACGTGTGGTGGTTGCAGAAAAGAACTTGTAGCACTTTTTTGAACAATGTCTCCACATTTTTCGACAAGCAAGCAAAGCAGGATAGTTTTCGTAAAACATGCATGTATAGCAACAAGCATTTTTTTATAGCTGCACAGCAACACAGTCAGGATTTTACCAGACTGAAGGCAAAAGATGTCTGCTGTGCATGCCTGGTAGATCATCCAGGGGTTGTTCATGTTTCAGGCACAGACATCTGCTGAACAAAAATTGAGCATGCATGATGTAATCATAAATCTTAATTTCAACCTGAGAGTGTGATTTTTCATCCTCACAGGCATTGATTTATTTCTAATCCAGTGTAACATATAGGGGCAGCTCATTAAAAACAAATTCACTGTCCCAAATCCTTCCAGGCTGCACTGAGTGTGACAGCTTTGCAGTTGTTTTCTGGCATCAGCAATTGTCACAGGTGTGAGGAAATACAGTACACATTCACAGCGGACTGGATAAAAAAAGTATGGGAGGGGGCTGACGATGAGTCCGCAGTGGGCAGTATTCAGTTGCAGGAATAATTTGCATCTCTGTCACTTTAGCTGTCGTCTGCTGAGCTTTCATATGGAAGCTGCAGCATGTCCTCCGTGTTCACTGCGAGTCCAAATAGCTTCCTAGAGCGAGGAGGATGAAAAGGCAGCTCTCTGTTTTATATCTTCATAAGTATGGGCGGAGACGGACAGCACTGACACTTCCGTGGTCGAAGTGTTCCGGGGAGGGGAATGGAATTAGTGTGTCTGAAATGCCACTCAGTCCTTATGGGGCTTCTGCTTCATCCTGCACCATAATAGAGACAACACCTCCACCCTCCTCTTTCTCCAGCCCTGTTGCTAATGAGAGGATGCTCTGCAGAGGCCGACCCTTCATTGTTGTTGTGCAAATAGCATAATTGCAGCAAGAGAGCATTGTAATGAAGTGTGTTTTCTTCACCCTTCCCTCCCCTTTTCTACCCTCTCCTCCATGTTCTCTGCTTTCATTCTCTAACTGCTTTTTTCTCTCTTTCTCCTCCTTAATTTTTTACTCCATTCTATCTCAGTCTCTCTCTCTGGTCCTCCTCTTTAATCTCACCTCTCTCTCTCTCGCTCTCTCTCCGCTCTCACTCTCTTCCCACCCTCTGCTCTCACTCGCCATCTTAATTTTCCATCCAAACATCACGGCTGAGACAGACGTATCCGGGCGGGGACCTGTTGTGTGCACCAGTGGCACTGTGTGATTAAGCCGCTTTTAAAGCCTGGGCATAAATAAAAACTAAACAGGGGCCTCCAGTGCCCTTCACCCCAGCGTCTTCAAGAAAAGCCAATAATATGCTAAGCTAATGAGAGGCGAACCATTGATTCAAGCTATGCTATCAGGGGCAGGAGCCCTGGACATGCTCCGATGCAGGCTGGAGTTTCAGCATTGTAATGAGGTTGAAATGAAACACTATGTCCTCAAGCACTGCAGTCATGTGGGATGATGCGGAGAGTGCTTTGTGCTGTTTGGCAGTGCGCTCATCATGACGCTGTGTGCACAGAAGTCAGTATTGTGTGATACGGTTAGAATTGTTTTTGTTTTGGCTAGGGGCTGTATTATGGGGAGGTTAGAGGGGGTCCACCCTATCAATTAGAAATTTAGCATTCATCCCCTGTTGAGCTTTCCCTCCCTTCCCTTCATCTCTCCTCTGCTCTTACATTACCCTTTTACTTCATTTTCATCGCCTTCCTTTTTTTACTTTCTTCTTCTCCTTCCCTCTCTCTCTCTCCTCCTCCTCCTCAGCAGTCACTCCTACTTTGCGCTCTGATGTCCAGCTGGAGAGTGCACTGCTCACTCTTTTCATCTCCTCCCATTTTGCTCTCTACTTCCACATCCTCCTCTCCTCCGTACATCCCCTCTCTTTACTTCGAGTTTCTCCTTCCCCCCCGTTTTTATCGTATTAATTTGATTCTGCACTCCGTTGCCCTCCCCTCCTCGTATGCCATCTCCTCTCCTCTCCACCAATCTGTTGTTTCTTTATTTGTGCGAGCAAGGCCCTGAGCGTATTCTAATCTCCCGGTTCCACATTAGTGCCTCGCCTGCAGCCCCTTCATTAGTTGTTCAGCCGTGGCTCAGTGTGTCACCGAGTGTGCAGTAGCGTGTCTGAAAATACATGGGAAACTGCTGCACGCATACAAGCATACACCTGGATGAGAGTGGACATGTGCTACATCTCTTTGACTCAAGACAGGTTGATCTGGGTTTGTAATTTCTCTGTTTTATGTCTCTAACTTGTTTAATGTGCTGCTGCCTGTCTTGACCAGGACTCTCTTATAAATGAAATTCTTAATATCAAAGAGATTTTCCAGGTTAGATTTATTTTAAATAGAATCTTAAAAGACACGCGAGTGTGTGCATGTACCGTTGTAGGTGAGTTTTTGTGTTGTCGTGTGCAGCTCCCTCTCTCACTCTGTAGATCAGTGCACTGCTGCCACCTGCTGTTTGACAAAAGAACTGCTGAGCTGCATCAAAGTCACGTAGGACAGCAGCACAGCTCTGGCTGCTCAGTGGATGAGCTCATCTTTAGTTTAGGGAGCGTATCGAGTGCACTCTCTCTCACTCTCTCTCTCTCTGTGTTGTGTTACAAAGGACGAAGAAGTAGAGACTCTTTCCAGGCTTTAATAGCTCAGTGGTGATGATATTGCAGAGGATTATTTGCTCTGTTTATTAAACGTGGAGGCATTTTTCCTGTTGGCATCGGTGTAGACATATTTTGACAAACAGCACAAGGACGACAGGACCTTACGTTCTCTATCGTTTTCAGCTCAATGCTTTTAAGCAGCATGGTCTATGGGGGTTTGATTCTCTCTCCTCTAAGTCATGCCGCTGTAGATGCATGAGGAACACAGAAAGCTCTTGACTTTTATTTGAATACATTTGGGTCTGAATATATTACTTTACAAGACATCACGTTTGCAGCATGTCTTATATCCTGTCTGCTATTAAATTTGGGCTTTTGTTGGATAAACAGCCTTTGCTATCAGCCGAACAACAACATCACATCTTCATCGTTAAAGCCCTCTCTTGTTATTGCTTTGTTATATTTCCAGCTGTAAGAGCATCATTACGTTTATAATGATTGTGTGTAATGTCTAATCTCGTCTGTGTGCTGTTTGTGTCTTCAGACAGCAGAAGGCCTACCTGGCCACGCAGGGCCCGCTGGCCGAGACCACTGAGGACTTCTGGAGGATGCTGTGGGAGCACAACTCCACCATCGTCGTCATGCTCACTAAGCTACGGGAGATGGGACGGGTAAAACACAAACACACGTTATATATCTGTGCATGCAGCCCCTTCAAGGGTTATTGGACCATTTCAGGGAATGATAATCTTTATATGCCGAGTCTGTTCAGCTGAGCTGCTGAGTCACGCTGCTCAAATATTAATCCATTCCAACCCTAAAAAGTAACTTTGGTTGAAAGTTAACTTCCTTATCACCACGCCTGGAATGCATCTGTGCTCAAACGAGCACGCTCCTCCGTTGGATTTGTCAATAATTGGAATCCTTCCAAGACTACCCATAATTCCCATACCGCATGACTGCATCACATTTGATGAAAAAGTGAAACAGTTTTTTGTAACAAGGGAGCAAAAGAGTAAGTTTTACATTTTAACAACTCCTGCTTAAGACAGTTTTAAAACTCAACAAAGTTTGGAGTTCACTTTTTGAAATTTCATCGATGAACTTGCAGAAAACTTTGAATTTTGAGGGCTCAGGGAGTCTTAGGGCACGGCACTAAAATCAGAGAGTGAAAACTCATTATAACTGTTCCATAAACCAGCGACTATCTCTCCGGGAGAGGGTTGCTTAGTTTAGCAAAATGATTTGAGATCAAACTTTGTCATCCCTGATATTAAGCTCAGACGGCCAGGTGCGTGCTGCAGCTTCACATTTAAGGGACCGATATGATCATCTCATTTAATTCAAAGAAAGGAAGCAGATGAACGTACCTCTCAGACTGACTTATTTCAGTGCATTGCTATGTATACCAGACTAAATCCACGTCTTTTAGCGAGTTGTTACTTTTGATCATCACAGCGAATCTGACGGCACTCGACAGCTTTTATCACCCTCTCATCTGTAATCACAGGAACACTCAAGCACATCATCGCTGTGGTTAGAAACACAAACAAATTATGGAAATATTTAGCTTCCCATGATGAATTAGACTATATTTCAAACCGCAGATTAGTCTCTCCTTGATTTGCTTGTGTAAGCAGAGACCTACTCGTGGCTCAGAATGACTAATAACCTCACCGACCCTGTGTTAATAATATCCTGTGGAAGTCAATCATTCATTCACTCCTTATGTAAAAAGTGTATTTCTCATAAATTCTTGGGAAAATAGTCCTGGAATAAAGGTGCTAACATGTGGTCTCTCTGTCTCTGTGTGTAGGAGAAGTGCCATCAATACTGGCCGGCAGAGCGTTCAGCCAGGTACCAGTACTTTGTGGTGGATCCGATGGCGGAGTACAACATGCCACAGTACATCCTCAGAGAGTTCAAAGTCACAGACGCCAGGGTATGTTGGATTCAGTCTGTGGGTTTGCCCTTGTGTGTGTTCTTCCATGTGCGTCTGCCTGGTGTGGGAAGGGGGTGAGGATTGATTGGCATTTTACAGAAATACAACCATCCAACCCAAATCCATCTTCATTTTAGGTTCTCAGACAAATGCAGAGAGTCGCGTTTAGTGTTGAAAATTATAGCGACTGTGATTTCAAGGTAGAGATGATCAGAGGAGTCGCGTGTTATTTCTCCTGACAGGCTGACATCAAGTGAATGCACCATCAAACATGTTTACCCAGATTTAGCAGCAATATGCTTGCTCTATGGAATGAGAGTGTGTTTTTGTGTGTGTGTGTGTGTGTGTGTGTGTGTGTGTGACTGTGCATGTGTGTGTGTGTGTGATTGTGCATGTGTGATTCGAGATGACTGTGAAAACACATGAAAAGCATAGCCTTCAATCCCCAAAGGCCAGAGCTGCAGCTCCCTGTGATGCTGTTGTTTCAATAGGCTATAAATATACTTTACTGTCATCAGAGGGCCCACAGCACCACGGCACTCCAATCCAACATCCACTCTTCTTCTTATATACGGTGTGTGCATTTAGAGGAAGATGTCGAAATGCACTCAATCTGACACATGCACTAAAATAATACATCTGAAACTCACACACACCACAGTGCTGTCAAATATTTGACTCCATGGTGCAGTTTTCAGTGTTCGTCAGCCTGGGTCGTTGACTTCTGGAGACGTCAGCTTCATTTATGTTGCCTAGGTGTAAATTAGCTGATTAGAGGACCGCAGTGGAAACCAGCAGGGTTATGGTACTCCTGCATCTCAACTGAGAAGCAGACACTCTGTGAACAAAGACAACAGATAAAGATGTGTTTAGACTGCAAAATAAAGCTGATATTTTGTCTTAAGATAAATTAAAAGATCAAAGAGAGCTCCGCCAAACGCAGCTTACAGTCTCTACCACCACTGATACATCACCTCTGACCTGTACTTAAACTCCTCTTTGCGTCCCCTCAGGATGGCCAGTCCAGAACAATCCGCCAATTCCAGTTCAATGACTGGCCCGAACAAGGAGTGCCAAAAACTGGAGAGGGCTTCATCGACTTCATCGGACAAGTGCACAAAACCAAGGAACAGTTCGGACAGGACGGACCAATCACTGTACACTGCAGGTAAGGAGGAAAAGTGACACAAAAAAGAAATGTGTACATGCATGCAGATTTGTGTTTGGACTGACGAGCAGCAGAGTCTCATCTTTGTCTCTGCAGTTTCAGGTTAGGTTTATTCTTTGTTACAGACGCACAAAGTGAGATAACACATTTCAGATTCTGTGGTTTTATTCACTTAGATCCTTTTTACACATTTTTGTTCATGGTCTGCTGAAAATCCTCTTTAAAGGTTACATTATTTAATGTTTAGGAGTTACACTTAATTACCAGCCTATAAGGTCAACCTTACTTAAAGTATGCAGTTTCTGCCTTTTGTAGTTTTTTGTTGAAATTCTTTTGTTCATTTATAAGGATGTAGTTTGCAGTGCTAATTTATTTTACTATGTGCTCATTGTATTTTTTAAGACCAAAGCGGAAACAAATGGACGTAATAAAATTGTATCTATAACCTGAAATGAGTTATTTTAAAATAAGCTTCCTCGCCTTATTCGGAACAAGTAAGGGTACGCTTTGAAGCCTTGGACTGGAAACGGTGATAAATAGTTTTGTTTGTGTGTTCCCCTCAGCGCCGGGGTGGGCAGGACCGGAGTCTTCATCACTCTCAGCATCGTGCTGGAGAGGATGAGGTACGAAGGAGTGGTCGACCTCTTCCAGACAGTGAAGACACTTCGCACCCAGCGGCCGGCCATGGTGCAGACCGAGGTAAGAACAGAGTGCAGACAGACGGTATCTCAAAGTCAATAGTGTGTGTTATTAAGGTGTAAAATAAAGACTGTTTGACTTGCTGACACAGAATCTTTCTGCAAACTCATTCAGTGATATCACAGAGGTCCAGAGTCCAATTCTTCTTATATGAAGAGTTCACATTGGACACAAAGAGTTTAAAAACTATATTAAAGAAGACAGGCATTGTGAGAAGTCACTGAATTTATAACCACTTTAGGATTATGAAGGGAAGATTAACAGAAAATAACAACTTGAACTTGAAGTATCTGTGGTGGAAACCGATCAAGTATATTAACTCAAGTACTGTACTGAGTTTAATTCTGGGAATCTGTTCTATTTAATTATTTCTCCACTTTCTACTTTTTGTTTAAAAGCTGCCCCTGTCACCTGAAAAGCTTGAAACACGGTATTAAAGTGCATACTGTATACTGCCAGGCTACCCAAAATGCACCAGTGATTTCACCTGTTATTCCACATTTACCGTCAGCAGCTTTTCAGTCGCTACAACGGTCTCTATTCTTGGACAGAAAAAGCTGAAGGAGTGCAGAGAAAGGGCCGCACAGAGAGATCTTACTTCCCTGAAAGACAGACAATTAAGCCATTAAGGCCATATTTAGCAAACAGAACAGAATTAACAAAGAGAACAGGTTTGATGTGTGATTTTCCAGATATCTCTCTGAGGACTCTCTCACTGACACTTCTTGTTTTCTGTCTCTTCAGGACCAGTACCAGCTGTGCTACAGGGCCGCGCTGGAGTACCTGGGGAGCTTTGACCACTATGCAACATAACCACTCCTACCGAGCAGCCTCCCTGGTCAAACCTCTCAGGAGTGTGCCAAGTGTCCCATCTCAGCCACCATCCACTCACTTGACCCGCTTAAAAAAAAAAAACGCCCCTCACAGCCAACAAGAGGGGAGGAGAAAGGGATACGCCTGCGGACCCTGCAACGGGTTCAACCAATCACAGAGATCCACACTGATTTAACCAACCACGAGATTTTTGCTTTAAAAAATAATAACAGAAACATTACAATGACTATGACAAACATGACAATTCTTGTACAGATGCGACGGAGCAGAGTGGCAGCTCGCCTCTCTGCTCCGTCAAAGCCAAACCTCCCTGATTGTCAAAGGCTACTGGTAGCACTAAGAGAGCACTCTCTCTGTTTTTATGTTAATGTTATTGTCAATATTATGATTCATTATGTTATTGTTTAGTATATTTGTTCTTTTTAATCATCATTTTAACATCAGACATTTCTTTTGTCTTAAACTGCCCAGCCTAGGGTGTGCATTATGTTCATAATCGGTACTTTTTTTTATTTTAGGGTACATTAGCACAAGGGACATGTATTTTAAACACGTTCCTAGATACTAATACAGGAGGACCACCGTTCTCTGAGCTGCTTTTACGATATTTTCTTTTTGTTTCTTCATATTATGTGTCATAAACGTTGTTTTTGGTCTTATTCAGTTCAATAACCCAAACTTTTATTTTTTGCCTTTTCACTTGCCATCTCGACAAAAAAAAAAAAAATCAACTATTACAAATTGATTTCAGAGCACACACTTGCTAGAGTTTGTCCTTCTGCAAACATGGTAGCTAGTTATAAAACAAACGAGTGGATGATCCGACAGGAGAGTAAATCAGAGGTGTACAGAAATGGAAAGCACATGATTTCTACGCGTTTTGTTTCATCAGAAGCCTATGGCATTGAGGCCTTCATACTCCACAGCGGAGAACTTACCTGAGGAAAACAGACTTTTATAACCAAGGGTAGTTGACACAAAACAAACTCCCTGATCTCTGAATATTGTTGCTCTTCAAGTCCCTCCCATCTCCTCGCTGCCCATTCGCCTGGTGGCTTTTGCCGGAGCTGAACCACGCAGACCTGACGGAGCGGATGTGGTTCACGCGGTCTGAGGAGTGGAGCCATTAACGGCACCTGTACAGAATCAACCATTCCTACCAGAGGGAGAGAGACTCAGCCCTTTGGACTGAAACCTGATATTATTTTATACAGAAATAGAACTATAAATATATATATAAATATATATAATTATGATTGATTATATATATATGTACAATTACACATAGATATATACACAGCTTCAAAGGTATATTGTTAAAAAGGATTAATTCTGCTGATCTACCAACCCTAGAGACCGCAGAGAGCCTGCTGTCCTAGAGTGTGTATTCATGGAAACACCGTTGTATCTACTGTACTACCATAGTAACTTCGACAGTCCGTTTGAACGAGGAAAAAACAGCACAACCCCCCACCCCACCCCACTCATCAAAACGGACGGCTCCTCGCTCAGTGCGGGGCCAACGCACCACTCAAGCACACGTCTTCTCCCACAAAGAGCCGCAGGAGGGGGAGGGATCTGATCCGAGAGGCCTAAACGGTGTGGTGGCGGTGGTGGTGGAGGCGGTCGTGGGAGGGAGGGGGGACTTGAAAAACGCTGGAGAAAAACTAAAAATGTTCATTTTTACCTTGTGAATGCTTAGTGCTGTAGGGGTTCGATCTGTTGTACACACAGTCTGTTTTCTATTTGTTATAAAGAACTGGAATTTAAAAACAAACTGTTGATGAAAAAGAAAAAACATTGATGTTAATAAAGTTAAATAATTGGGTTTTTGTACAAATTCTGCCTTGTGATGCCGTGTTTTTTGATCCTGTTGTTTGCTTAAGTTCTTCATCGATAAAACCTTTATCCTTCAGTGCAAGTCTGGGACCCTGTGGAACACCAGAAATCTGTCTATGTTTCTCTTGTTGCCAGTTATTCTGCTCAAAAGCATTTCCTGATCTCTGACCACTATGAATAAGTTCATAATCCTGTGTTCTTTGGCTTCAGGCGTTTTTACAAGTCTCTCTTTTCCCACAATGCAACTTCATGTTTCTAAAACGTTTGTGTTTGCAAGGTTGAAGCTACGAGTTGGGAAAAATATCCACCCCCTCCTTTTTTTTAAACGTGCACCCAAAAAATGTCTAAAACAGATTCTTAGTCATGAACACACCATTATTATCCCACTGTGAAGCCAAGACAGCATTCAGGCTGAAGCTGGGATCTTTGATTTCACCGTATTTCTTGTTTGTGAGAAGCTGAACCATTATAGAACAATAACACAAGCTTTCCATCCTCCATATTCTGGAGAGACTTCGTTTCTCTGCTGCACATGACGCTGATCCATTCAGCCTTCAGACGCTTCATGTGAAAGTTGCAGCCCCTGGATTTACACACAGCTGTTGTGTACTTACTTATCTGGATTTGACAGGTAAAGTTGAACATTTTTGTTCTAATGTTTGAAGCAGTGAGAGATAAAAACCACATAACAGTAGCTTCACAGAGTCCTCTAAAGTGAATAACTCAAATGCTTCTTGTGAATTAAGGAGTGTGACACACACCCTAATAACAGTTGAGCTGTTTACGTTGGCATGGAGACACAGCTGTCAAAAAAAATCAATTCACTCCCACTGAGGTTTGATGAAGCAGAGTTGATGTGTTTTTAAAGTTGACGACTTGTAAAAAAATGTATTTAAAGACGATTACAGCTCCGTTACCTTTCAAATTATTTAGAACAAGATATTTTAGAGAGATATTTAAGAGAATTCAGATTTTGGTTTGTTTTTCCTATCATGGTTTGTGTGTGCTCATAGTGAGGCTTCATCTCCCCCTCAGTGACTACCTCAGGCTTCCTCGTTATTAGCCCACACATCATGCTGAAATGACTGCCAGTTGATACCACATAAGAGACACACGGGGGGGAAGATGGTATGATTGCATCTATGGAAAAGCATGCATATGTCTCGCTTTGTTTGTTTGTTTATCTCGTGTAACATATGGAATGAAAATAAGAGTGTCTTCCATTTGTTACTGGTACTGATTTGTTGTTGTGTTCAACATTTGGGAATGATCCAAAGAGTAGCAGTAACACGCTAAAGACAGAAGCGCACTGACAGGATTTCAATAGGGTTGTCACGATACCAGAATGTTAAACTTCAAAGATAATAGTCCAAATTAATTTATATCAATACCTGTGTTGATACCATAGCAACAAAAACACAAGTCCTAACATCTAATACGGAGTCATTTCTTGTGTTCAATTACCGAAAACTGCAAGTAAAGTCCTGCACACTATCTAAATCGGGGAAACACATTGGCAACCTTTTAGTATGATGCCATTTAGACAGCGTCACCTCTCTCTCTGCTCTCTGATGTTTGTAAGACACAGAAACATAACTTTGCATCTTTATCAGGCAGAAAAGGCCAACCTGTGAACTGCTAGTCTCTCTTCTGCTTGCAGCATCCTTTGGCTGAAATGGGACTGAAGAACATTTTTTATTTATTTTTTTGTTTTGGCACTATTCTATAATATTGATCAATAAAATAAAATAGATTATATCAGTGTAAAACACAAAGTATGATTATGGAAAATACTGACAACCCTATTTGGCCTTTAAGAAAAATGACTGAAGTTTTATACTTTAGTTCTGTTAGTTATTGTAAAAGTAAATACTGTTTACTATGTTGTTTCTCTTTTGAGTCATGATAATAATACTGACACATAAGTAATATGAGCAGTGATAATACTCTGCCTACGACAGCTAGTTTGTAGTCAAAAACATGTTTGTTGTTGTTTTTTAACTCGTTCAGTAGATAGAAGTATCGAGGTGGTGGTCAAGGTGCTGTTGTGTAATCTAGAACTTTGCTTGAAGCATTTTACAAAGTTTTGTTTTGGATTCCACAAAAAACAAATTGACATCATTGTAGTTTAACAAACTGTGTCTAAGTTGATTTTGTTGTCATTCAGTGACTATCTAGCTTGCTGCTTTTGCTTAAAACCTGTCTTCACTAAGAAAAAACTCAAACAACAGCTTAGCCCCTGAGTGACCTGAGTGAAACGATGAGTAATCCAACTGGGTAAGGAAATTAGAAAACATATGTTTGACTGCTTTATGTACAGATTATTATGATGCTGAGCCGTGTGTTCTTGTAGAGATTGTGCACAATCCTCCCAAGAAGAAGACCGTGAAGGTGAGTCTCTCTGCCTGAAGATTAAAGCCCAGTTGGAGGATTTGTTCTCCGACAGCCACCTGGCACAGGACGGCTTCCTGCTAAAACATGTGCAGAGGAGCAAGCAGGGCTATGTCAGCCTAAAGCTCCTCACTTGTTTGAAAAAGGTAACAAAAAAAACAACTAGGTTTTGTGTGCTTTCTTTGGTGTTTACATTCCATCAGTTCTATTAAACATTCAGTGAAATGCAAACAGAGCTGAGGTTGCAAATGTTTGTCTCAGATTAAGGTCCTGACCACAGACTGGTACATGACTCTAGCCGGAGCAGAGTACTCGGAGCTTCTGGAGGTGAATGATGTATGCACCAAAGTGAGGCGGAAAAAGCCGCTTCCCACATGGCTGCTGTGTTCCCCCACCAGCAAGCTTCTCCTTGCTTGGAACATTTCTGAGGAGAAAACTGGAGAAGACGGAGTAGCCCGAAGCCCCGAGCACCCTTCACTCTCAGAGAGGATCTTCAAAAAGTTCAGCACTCATGGCACCGTTAATTCAGTGTGGATACTGCATCCGGGCAAAGAGCTTCCCAAGGAGCTGCAGACCTATGCTAAGCGGCACAAAGAGCTCGGCCTTCATTTGTGTGCAGTAGTGAAGTTTGCACAACTGGAGGCGGTTCGTAACGCGTACAGTCTTCTTAAAGACGAGCCTGACGGGGAGGGCATGCATGTAGTGCCGCTGGGATTCCTGATGCACCACCCCACCAAAGAGGAAAACAACCACGACCATCCTGGAGAAGAAAATCCACTGGAAATCTCTGAGGAGTCAGTCCAAGAAGAACCCTCTTCACCAGTGAAAGTTTCCACTGAGAGTCTAAACACAGCTCAACCCCAGGAGTCCCAGAGTAACTCCATGCAGAAGCCCTTGGAGCTGCTATCCAGCAGCAGGAAAGTCCAGCCCTTCTGTGGTTTAAATCAGAGGTGCAGTAAGATGAGCTGGTGCTCTGGAGACTATGATAGGGGTAATTCCCAGAGCCCCTGGGTGCTGAGGCGCAAATTTGCAGCCAGTGCATTAAACCCCAAGGTGGCTGGGGACCTGAATGAGCCGAGATTCATGCAAAGAGTGATGCGTCAGCCCCTCGGTCCTGACGGAACCAAGGGCTTTCTGTTCAGATGAAACTAAGAAGGAAGCCAGACTGTCCCTTGGATGAAGTAATACTGACTTTGCTGTGTATCAGTGGCAGATCTGCAGGAGCAAGTACTCACACAAAAAACAATATCTGATGAAAAAATAAACTATTTTTGCCTAAAATTAGAAATACTAGTTGAGTTTTAGTATCTGTACTGTTGAGAGACAGAGGGGGGATTGTAGCTTTAAACCACGGACAGATGGGGGCAGCATTTAGCCGTGTTCACGTCTGATATTTTAAACACATCCTACTTGTAGAGCTGTAGTGGCGCAGGAAGCAAATGCCTATAATACATAGATTAAACACATATAGGTCGAGGTACAAATATCTACACAAATTGTGTTTTTTAAGCAATGTCGTAAAAGCGTTTAAGAATCAAACACACATCTTTTTTGATATATAAGTGGCCTCTGCACCCCTGGAGCCTCAGCTGTCTGGTCCCAGCTGCAAATTGCCATGTATATTTGTTCTTGGGCCAAGATGGATGTACCTTGTTACCTTTTTTTTTTTTTTTAGAGAAAGAGGTGTTTTCTTTCAACAGGAAACACATTTAGAAAAAGCACTCATTGTCCAACTGCATCTTTTTCACAAATGCCTGTTTAGGTTTCGGTGCCCTAAAAAGTAGTTTTCCACCGACTGAGATGACATTTGGCTGACGGATACTTGTCCAATCATCAAACCACATCTTGTGCAAGACGCGGGTAGAAGCAACAGTTATGCCTTAGTTCCAGCCTTCCTAATGACACCTCGACTAGAATGGTATGTTTATAGTGTTACTGATTGAGGGCTTCCTTAAAATCTTGCCCGAACCTAAACAAAATGTGTTTCTTCACTCATCCACACCCAGTGGAAAAGATTCAATCTGATGTGTATTGGGATCCTATCAAATTCAAATTTGAAACATTCTTTGTTGTTTTTTCCCGTTGTATATGCTGAGTGTCATACTGTCTTCATGACTAATGTAATCTGAGCTGTTGAGAGAGACTCTGCGTTGTATACAGATCAAGTGTTTCACTGTTATTGTCTCTGACTTGATTTAGCAATTAACAGCTGTTGGGCTTTTTTAATGCAGGAGGCTGGTCTGTGAAAAAACTTTGCACATCTGTGAACAATATGGAGACTATAGAGTAGAAATGTTCCTGCCCGACGTCAGGAAATGTTTCTGTGCTGATAGTTCCTTTTCAAGGATAGACAAACACAAAACCTCCTGCTAACTGGAAATCATTATGTATATGCAAGGGCTGCCCTGGCTAGTAATTGAGTTCTATGTCAAACACGTTTGTAATGATAATTCTTGTGTTTTCTTTTCTCTTTTTTTTTCTGACAGAGGATAGGAATGATTTTGCATCTGTTGACTGTCAGCTAAACATTCTCACCATGATGAAGAGTAAGAATCCTCTCTTGATTTGTGGCACGGTGTTATCCTTTAGGTCAGTGCTTAAGAGTTGAAGCTGAACTGAAGGAGAGTTTGTCTTGGCATCGTTTCAGACACCAGAAACCTACGCTCGAGGTCACTAAGCAATCAACCTTAGGATATTCATCAATGCACATTTTTGGTTTAAAACAAAGCGTGGACTTGGACAATCAAAACTTCATTGGGTTTTTCCCTTTTTCGCTCATTCAACACTCAAGGAATTTCAAGTTCTAGAAAAGTTAGTGCTTCGCAACAGCTCCACTTTATGAGTGGAATTTTGCAAAGCGTGATTTGTGTATAATTTGGCCCAAGTATACGGGAATGACTCATGGTGTTAGAACGAGATATTTGTTAACAAATAATTCGTTTCCTGTTGTGTGTCTGAATTTTTTACCCGAGCACAGAGATAGCTGCTTCATTTCAACATCTTTGGCCGCAGACGCATTTGTGAAACCACAAATTTAGTTTGAATCAACTCTGTTTCTGAGGATTTATTTGTCTGCTCCCAAAACAGCACCTGCAAGACTTTGTGTATCTCCCTCTCTCATGCATCTACTCCCTGGTCTCCAAGCTGGCCTTTGTATATCTATGATTGACCCTACACACCTGACGCATTTCCTCCATGGATGGGCTATTTATTTAGATAGCAGTCTGGAGTGCTTGATACCTTGCAAAAGCACAGCCATCTGCTCCTCATTTGCTGCTCAAGGCTCAAGAGCTAAAATACTGGTTTGTATTGGAGGTGACGTGAACGTGAGACATGCAACAACACCCTGGTTTTATCTCCGGCCAACTGTAGATTGAATCCTCATGAAATACCTCCGCTGTGATAAGTCCATTTAACTGGGGGTTAATGTTGTCTTAGCAGCATTTAAACCTATTGTGAACTTTCTTAATTCCACCTAAAAGATTGAAAAACACTTGCTTCAGCAGACTCTACTGATCTGCCCATTTGAGGCTATTACTAGTCACCCACTTAGTATGGCAGACTCTCCTGTGGCAGAAGGTAAATGTAAGCCCTTGCTCAGGCCAAAGCATCCTTTAGTGCTCCTGGAGCTAGAGCCAGGGAGATTATCATGTCAGGAGTAATCCGACTCGGCCCACAAGCACAACTATGGAGGAGGAGGAGCAACAGTTGAGGGGGGGGAGGCAGGCAGAGGCATCAGATGGGCTCTGCTCCGCTTACGGTAACTACGCTCTCCCTCCTCACCCTAACCAATCTTCTCAACCCACAGAGTTCCCCTCCTTAGAGCTGAAGAGAAGACCTGCTGCTGGAAAAAGGGGTAAGCAGATGAGCATTATCTTTCCAACCATGCTGTTGTGTGGAGTTAAAATGATCTGCAGTGGATGGAGTTGCACAACAGATGGAATAAAAGTCAAGACATCTGTACGAGCTGTTTATTGCATGGCTCAGTTCCTCTGTTTTGCTCTGTTTCAGGATCAGGATCGTGCAAAAGGCAGATCAGGAGTTTCGTATGGAGGAGCATGATGACAGAAGTTTTCTAAAGTGAACCAGATGCCCAAGTCAGGAGCGTTGTTAAATACATAACTGCTCTTGTTGAATGGATCTGAGTACCATGAATCACACTGTTACATTCAGAGGAATGCTGATTCTGATCTTTGCAACCTAAAAGAGTTCTGTGGAAGTGCAAACATGATGAAAGAATAATACAGCCTGGACCTGAATCAACTCAGGTCACCTCCCCTACTTGCAGGCACAGGGAGTTGTGATGATTTTCAGGGGGAATAAGCAGGAGTGCTGCCCTCACTCCTCTCCTGTGATGATGATGATGGACTTACCCAGCCAGCACTTGCCTGTGGTGGTCAGCTGAAGACGACGCCACGCAGCTAAGTCTGGATTAGCCGGCCGAACGGTAAGGACACCACATCTTCTTTTGTTAGTTTAAGCCAGCAGCTTATGGGGAAGGCGTTAGGTGCCGCTGACAGGGATGCCTCACCAAGTGCTTGAGTGGCAGAAAACACACGTTGGATTAGCTGTATCAACAAGCGGCCTTTGCTGGAACCACATGTCAATAGCGCAGATCAGGTCACGAAATGTTTGTGGAGCGGTTACGTTTGATTAAAACATGTTGGAAGAGCAACAAGAGGAAGAAATAAGTATTCTTGTCCTCTGGATAATTTAAACAACCTGTCATTGTCCGGGGGGATATTTATTTTTCTGTCGCTTACCTAACGGTTTGTGTTATGCCACTTTATCAGGCATGATTTCTATCAATGGCTTTCTTTTTTTAAAGGTACAAGCACATCTTAGAAATCTTAGAAATCATAGGGGTGGATTATTTTTGTCTTGATTGATTATTAAAAGAAGAAAGGAGAATATTTTGCAGAACTGTGTCTCTAACACATAGTTAAGGAGAGCTAATTAAAATGATGAATGATGCCTTCTTAAAAACAAGGGGGGTAAGAGAATGTGTGATTCTGACTATAGGCATTTTACTAAAGTGATGATCCCTTCCTTCTAAGCCCATATCATATGTAGAGATTACACTGTATCCAGCAGAGCCCCCAGAGGCCGGGTAGAGGTTAAGCCTAAAGTCAATTGAGCCGTCCAACTTTCATAACCTGACAGAGCTGGTCATAACTGGAGAAACTGAAAGGGAAGCTGCACTGATGCGCGACTTCTCATCACCTCAATGACATTTTTCTGTATTTTTCTTGCTCAAATATACATTGTGCACGTGAAATGAATAACAAGCTAGTCTTTCAAAGAGAGCACGGGGCTATAAAGATGTAAAATGTCATCATATTTGAGATGTTTGTACTTGCTTCTGCATGCTCGCGTGGGTCATATTTGAAACTGGTATTCAGCGTGTGCCAGATGGCCATCATCCCTTTGTAACAGCAACATCAACATGTTTAACATTGGTTTAGAGGCGCTGCGGTTGTGTAAAAAAAAAGGAGGATCTAGCATGGACAGATTAGCAGCTAGAAGCCAGAATAGAAGCTCAGAGACTCTTCTTTAGAAAGTCGTCGAAGCAACATCAATCTCTCTCCCAGCTCACTCAAAAATGACGACGCACGGTGATGTTTGCCTGACAAGCCTCATGTAACCTCTTTGTGAAAGAGAAATGCATGTCAGAACTACACCTTGACTCAACGCTTCCTTTTAATAGAAAGGCCAGATAAATTGGGACATGGGTCAAATGTGCATCTATAAGTGTATCTGCGCCTCAGATCTCATTAACGCCACCCTAACAGCAACAGGTTTGAGTTGGGACATGTCGTGCAAGGCTGTTTGGTCAGTGGATTAATCCGGATCAATCCGTCGGATGTGATAGTAAGGCTCCCAAAATAAAATGGAATGGTTTCTAAGCACTCACCTACACCCAGCAGATTTAATTGACACAGTAATGGTTGGTATTTATAGAACGCAAATTCAAATGTACACTGTTTTTCTGGCATTACTTTACATGTTTTTTCCGCTCATTTACTTCTCAATAATGAGCAGCAGCTTTTTCTCTAACAAGGCACAGGCTTGTTTTAATTATGCAATGGTTACTGAGTGACAGAGTGTGAGCCAACTGAAGCAGTTGCCCAGCAAAATTACAGCGCAGTTTAACCTAAGCCTTTTTCAGTTGCATTAGAACCCAGGCTGGATTTAGAAACAAGGCAATCCTGGCTCAGAACATCAACTTTTATTTTGCAGCCTTTTGGGCCACCCTGATGGACACAACTTACTGAGCAGGTTACTATTCTTATAAATGCTTAAACCTCCACACGTTTCAAGACAACAAGAAGGAGCAGTGCCTGCTGGCGCTCACTCAGTGGGTCCTGCAAACATGCTGGCCTAACCCCTAAGTTAGAGGTGTCTGATGGATTAACACAGACGCACACACACACATGCAGCAGGACTCAGGCTCCACCACCAACACTGAAGGCAGGTGTTAAACCACGTGACTACAGATAAAGCCGGCAGGCATTAGTGCTAATCCTGCCCTGATCTTTGGAATATGTCCCTATTACGTCCCCAGCACTCTCTAGCTGTCCCCAGGCCTCCTGATGCTCACTTAAGAGGGAAAAGACAAAGACAGTGCCTCTCTAGGACTCCAAAAAGCAGGTCGTTTACCTGCAATTACACAGTAGGTGCCTTTCCCGCTGTTTGTTACGCTCCTCGGGTGTCTGAGCAGTGCAGGTATTTGTGGGGTGTGTTCACAGTAGCACAGACGATCACATGGGTGGAGCTGAGTTGAAAAGCACAGCGTGGTAATAATGTTCTGTAGATAAGGGCCTCAGGTTGTGCAGTGGCAAATAAAACGATGATTCAACCCGCGGACATGACTAGAAATCATGAAGCAGCGGTGTTTTTGTAAACTGGATTATTTAGTGTTATATGATGGTGCTGCTGGGAGTGTGTGTACGCACTGGAAGTGAAGTGGGTGTCTGGACAACAATGGAAGGTTAGACTTTGTCTCTCGATTTCCACACAAGCATGTGTCATATGATTTGAGGGAAAGTGAAACCACACAAGTGTTGCAAGTGTGTGTTTATGGTATGTGTGAGTCACGGCGAAGGAGCGATTGAGACAGAACAGGCTGTATTTAGGGAATGTATAGGAACGAATTCTACAGCGTTGAGAGACATTTAAGTTGTTATCTGTGTTTTTCAACACAAAGAATTCATTCATTCGGCTCTGTGATCTTCACTTGCTGTAATCTTGTCACAGTGCTAAAGATCCAAGCGAGCTGACAAGAAGGCACCCCCTGTCTGCTAGCTTCATTCAAGTGTTAACCACAGACGCCCCTTATCCCCAATTTGACAGATCTCTTCTTCATCTTCCATAGGCCGGGGCATTCTTTGGATTGTCTCCCTCTGGCATGGCAGGGAGAAGGACATGAGTGCCATGCTGCTGTAATTACATTACCGACAGCTTAGCAGCGCATTTGCCACTGACCCAATTATTCCTTGAAAACATGCATTTTATTGTGTCCATTCAAATAATGCAATCTTTGAGTGACAACAAGAGCTTGGCTGATGTTTGAGGACTGGACTCTAGTGTACGATGCACTCATTGGAGTATACATAACAGCTCAGGAATGGCTTTGACAGACTGGGGAATTCATTCTTGGCTTTGCAGTTCGCTTTCAAAGTTTGCCTCAAACAGGTTAATGATCCTCCCTGGACTGTTTTCACTCTGTTGGTAGCACTTCAGGTGACGGCTGACTGACAGCAAAACATCAGGTGTACTTTCTCATACATACCTCATATTCATTTTCAAACCCACTAGGACCACACAATATTTTAAAGAACTGTCATAAATGCAAACAGGATCCTTTTCTTCTCGTGATAAGTTGGTTTTCTGTTTGTTTTGGGCCTCACTCTTTCGACTAGCCGTTATCTCAAAACACAGGAGCGTGCATGGGCACATCAGTCCTGCTGACGTGCTGCGCCTGAATGGAAGCTTTTTTTGTTGTCTTTTGCAGCTCATCTGCACTTTTATGTCTCATTTTGAGGATGGCTTTTCCTTCTGCTTGGAGTGTCCTCTGGGATTCCTCTATATCCTCTGCCTTGTTGCTCTCCTCTATTTGCTGGAAAACAGCAGCATTTGTCTTTTCAGAGAAGTGGTACGCTCATTCACATGTTTCCATTGCTCACCTAAGAAAACACTGGTGCCTCTTTCCCTATTCATATCTGTTTATTTATGAACATGACAGCAGGGGCCAGTGGTAGATATTAAATATCTGTGCCAATTAGTCATCTGAGACCATCCCGACAAGCTGCAAAATGCACCTTGGCATTTTTATAGGCGCCAATCGACTGCAGATGGGACTAATGTGTTTCTGAGTGGAGCAATTACCACAATCAAAGTGTCTTCCGGGACATGAGATCAGCGTTTGATGACCAGGTTTTGTCAAGCCTCAGAGACCAAGACATCCAAGAACTCATTCTTCCTAACAAGCTAATTGTTTTATCAAGATATGCCATGGATCTAACGGCCCACAGGTCTGAAACAGATAAGTCCAAGGCAGAGTAATCGGCCCAAACTGACCTATTAACAGCATAAGAAAGCAATGATCTCATCCTGTGCCATATATTATAATAAACAAGCCCTTTCTAAATTGAACATTTATCCCAATTAACAGCGAGAGCGGGAGGATTCTTGGTGTCAGGCGTTGGTGTTGGACTTACAGGAACTAAATTAGACTTTCAGTGGAGGCCTCTATCTATCATGTCTGGTGAATAAATATAGCTAGTGGAAATCAGACATACTGTATAGGCGGGTATGAGTAACATTCAGACGCAGCCGCGGCTCCACATTTGATTCAGATCGACAATGTCAAATGAGGTTGTTAGCTGAAATGTTTGACTTTTAAATGAATACCATTCTTCCCCTTCATTGTGAAAAGACTGGTTACCACGTCAAACGCGTATGAAATTAAGAGTGATGAGTCAAGCTGTGACTGATAGGACTGGTTTGACCTGTTTATACGCTGTTTATTCCATTGCAACTCATGCGTGCAGCGCCTTTGTATTTTTCCCTTTGCGGTGGCCAAAACTCTGGAGAAATGTCTGAATTTGCCTATAGTTCCTTTTCTGTGCTTTTCTTACTTAACTGTAAAAATTCCACCAGAAAGCCAAAACGTTCCAACTCTTTACAATTTTTCATCGAAAAAAATCAGTTTAATGTGATCTGCAGGAGTAATCCACGTGCTAAAAGTGCAAACTTCCAGAAGTAATTCATTTCAGATTTTTGTTTTTAAACTAAACTAGACAAGGATATGTGAATTTTGACCCATTGTAAACACTCAAGCAGCCTGTATATGTACACTACAGAATCCAGTCTGGCAAAACAATTTGTGAGGCTGGTCTGGATTTGCTGTTAGTCACTGCCAGTATACCGTTTCCTGCTCTGGGGAAATGTTCTGCTCACTGGTGACATGATATGAAAAAGACAAAGAAGTCAGCTTGTAAAACTTCTCAAATACCTGGGGCATGACAAAAAGGAAAGGTAAGAAATAAGGTTCAATTCTACCAAAGTGAAGTTTGTGGCAGCTGTGGCGCAGCGTCTATAGAATGGGAGGGGCGGTGTAAGATAAAGGGATGTACAAACACACATGTACATACATAGCATTGCAAATAGGCGTGGTTTAGAGGTTCCAGTTGAGGAAGGAAAGGATTTCCCCTCTTTAAAAGGATATTTCCAAAAACATTTACTCCTGCACAGAGAAAGTATTTTTCTTCAAAAATGAAAGGACCAAGCTTATATTCCCATTCCCATCAGGTATTTTTTTTTATGATACACAAATGTCTTTTTTTTTTAAAGATTTTGAGGGGCAAAGCTCATTCAACATGCCTTCAGCTCAAATAAGAAATTGCAGTAAAACGTTTCTTCTCTCCAGGCAGCTGCGATTGAGCACACGTTGCATTCTCATTTGTCAGCAAGGGGATGTCAAGTTCGCGGATCATGAACCCACTTAAAAGTGAAAATGAGCTGACAGCAGAATAAGAAAAAGTAAACTGACAGTGAAATAAAAGCCCTGTTGAGAGGAAAGGATTTATGGCAAGGTCAATGAAATTTGACGGCATAGAGGATAAAATGTTTTGCATTGTTCTCTGTGCATTAATGTGACAACTTGAGGAAGGTTGCTTGGTATGTATGATTAAAGGTGAGACTGTAAATACATGTCTGACGTCTGTGTCTGCTCTGCCTCTCTCAACAGAGTTTCAATGCTCCTCCACGTTCTAAGATGAAGTTATGGAAAGGTGCTACTTTTGCCTTCGTGCTCTGTGGTGCAGCCCTGTCCATCCTCCTTGTTAGAAATATGGCCACTGTTGGACAGTTCAAACCTAGGAAAAATTCTCCATACACATCTTCATCCTCATCAAGACCATCTTCATCGTCAGACTCAACATTTAAATCCTCGGCATTATCATCTGCAGAATCGGCAGCGATGTCTCAGCAGATGGGTGGTCTTCATCGAAGAGCGCGCTCAGCAGACGAGATGAACTCTCTCCTCTCAGAGTGTAAGATAAACTGTTATTGTCTTCCTTCTTGTCTAGTCTGAGATAAGGTGTCATGTGAAAGGGCTTTTGGGGTTTGGACAGAACACTTAGTACCTAGCTCTGTTGTTTTTAGAGCAGGTTTTGATGTCAGGCAATAACCTGCAGTCAATTAGCACCTCATAGTTCACCTGCTCTCCATAGAACCATTACAGCCTTCAAGTGAGGATGATATACCCACTTTGCTTTGGTTTCCCGAGGCCTTATTGAAAGGCATTTGTCAGCTTAAATGGGCTTCAGGGAGTTCTTGCACTGTCCGTAATAGTGATGGTGAAAAGACTAGTCTGTAGGTGTCAACATGTCAGATAAAATAAACTAGTGTTCTTCTTCTGTTTGCACATTGTTTTCATTATTCTGCCAAAGGCCCCACACTATCTCTGCAAACCATTTGTGCAACTGACATGTCTGATTATTTCGAAACGCATCCATTTCTAAGGAATCAGATCAGCTGTACCCTCCCTACCTGTTTGTTGAATTTGATTTATCCTCCCTTTCAGTTTCCAAGATGTTCCAGAGCTTTACGGAGGGCGAGCTGCAGCATGTGGTCGGGACCTTGCTCGACAGGAAGAGAAGGAAAAGCCGACGCCTGGGTGACAGTCTGGCTCGAAGGACTAAAAGAGCCCGCAGGCCTAAGCCCTGCTCTGTAAGGGAACTGGAGGTGACAGTGAGTGAACTGGGTCTCGGATATGACAGCGACGAGACGGTCGTGCTGCGCTACTGCAGCGGCAAATGTGTGGCGCACCGGCAAAACTATGACATTACCATGGAGCACATGGCACGGATAGGTTTCACGAAGAAGGGCCGAAAGGACAGAGTCAGCAATGGACCCTGCTGCCGGCCGACCGCCTTCGAAAAGGACTTTTCCTTTCTGGACAACAAGAGCCGCTATCACACAATACAGAACGTGTCAGCGAAGCAATGTGGGTGTGTATGACCCAAAGAATTGAACTCATCACTTATTCTTGCTGCTCTCAGCCATGGCTAACTTTGGAATACAAACTAATGGAGAAGAAATACTAGGAATGTGTTCATGGCGCATGGTGGCCTTTTTGTGACAGGAAGACATTTTGACAACTGTCAACGCAAAATGGAACCGTATCACATGGACAGCAAGGGCTGCGTTTGTATGGATTCCAACAAAGGAGACACAAAAAATGACTAATCATACCAAAAACGTTTTTATTATCTTTTCTCGCTGTGTAGTAACACTGTAAACTGTGGTGTAACAACAATGTAGCAACATTTTTGAGATATTTAAGAAGTAGTACCATGCGTTAGACGAGCAATGAAGCGATAGATAAGATGGACTAGATGATTGCTGTTACTACACATAATACCTATAGATGTCGACCAGCTCCTCATTTTGTACTTTACATGATTATAACGGTGACAGTAAGAAACTTCAGAGAGAAATGAGGACATTCAATTCTAAAGTAATTTTATAAATTAAAGATAGATGAAATGCACCAATGTTAACTTAAAGCTCTGTGCAGGACTTTTGAACCACTGACCTGTAACGATGTCCGGTGGTAATGAATTAAAGGTTGGTTGAGTTGTTGTTATTACAGGCGGCAACTGTGTGACCTGTTTTCATGCTGTATGCATTAGTGTTACTGATTGCAGTGTTATTACACAGGGAAAGGAACTCGTGTTATTAAATGCATTTGACAATGAAAGAAAATACTTTTCTATAGATCCAGGTTTGATACCCAGCTTTAATTATTGTGTTTTTGTATTTTGATGTTGTTTAGATGAACAATGAGGACCTGTTTGGAAACACGTACAAATATTTCACACTTAAGTTATTGAAGAGCATGACATTTATTCCATATGTTCTCCATCGAATTACTCATCACACTCAGACAAATTGTCCTGTCAAATTATTATATACACAAAAAAATCAGTATTGTAACAACCCATAATCTTTTGGAATTATTTTTCCTCAAAGAATTGCCAAAACACACCTAGTCTATTCAAAGGCCCATCATGAATTGACAAATTTTGATTCAGAATCATCTAAAGTCTCACTTTACTGTCCACCCTGTATGTGATGTGTGAGTCTTTACACCTGAGAGGTTTTAAGATAATCTGAGGCTCAAGTGTGAAGGAAAATAATGATTTAAGTGGGTTTGTTTGTTTCTGCTGACAGAAAACAAGCAATGAAGTAGAGTCAGGATGTGGAAATGTCTTTGTAGCCATACACCAAACCCTGTTACTTGCTATGATTCAACGCCCAAATTCAGCCTTTTATTGGCCAATCAAATGCCTCCTCATTGATTTGCCTGGTAGAGTTTTAGGGGAAAATAAGCTATTGGAATTCATTATGAAGCATTTTTTCACCTTTGAAAATCTTTATTGGGTTTTATGCAACTCTTTGCCTGAAGTACAATAAATTATGTTTTGTTTTTGTTTTTTTCTGAGGAGGTGCAGTGTCGGGCACTGATGCAGAGCATCTTTATTGTAGTTTATATTGTATTTATTTGGGAAGTAAATTATGGTTTTGCATATTTATTTAGATTACCACACAGAAACGGGACAGCTTATTATCATTAAGCAACTGTGCCAAAAATGTTTTATCTAACATCCTATATTGACTGCTGAATAAACATTATTTCAGAGGTATGGATATTCATTATTTCTCTCTACTTATCAATCTTTGGGTGTTCAATATTCTGTACTCAGATTGTAATGAAAATAAGTAAATAAAATAACAAAGCTCTGATAATTCCAGATGTTGTTAATAATAAAAGAAACACCTGTAAGAAGGGGAATCCCTGTGGGTACAGTTGATGTACAGGTTATATTAAATAATCCATATGATGAAATACAACACCTTAGTCATGTGAATAAATAAATGTTTCTCAATGACACTGACACCATCTATTATACAGCAGCTCGGTGCCTCATGTACTAAACACCAATGAAGACAGAAGCTTATTACACCAGGGCATGTGACCAGAGTTTGATCCTGATGGCGGCCAGTAAGAAACTGCAGAGATGTCACTGACAGCTTTTCTTGTGTAATAATTGACAGAAAAGAAATCAAACAAAGTACGACTCTCTGTTTTCTTGAAGTAACCTTCTTTTTCTTGAAAACAAATTCCTTGGAAACACAAAAATCAACAATGACTGGATCCTACTGACAAGTATCGCCCCTGAAGCCAAATTTTACATTTACTCGGAGAGCTCTGCTATCATCCAAAAATATTAAATACCTACATGTAAATCTTACTGTTGGGTGGAACATTCCTTCATTACAATGAAACCTGTACTGGAACTGTAATTTATTTTGAGTCAATCCCACATACACTGTTCTGCTGCCAAATATACTCACTAGAGCCCAAATGTGTATTTATCCGCAGCTGAAAATAGTCCCCTGACAAAAGCCCTATTTACTCCTGTTTAGGAACAATTCTAGGAAACTGCTAGGGACCACATCATTGGTTCTTTAAAAAGTAAACCTTTAAAAAGTGAGCATAAACAAGCATGCTATTTGTTTGAATACCACATAGTTTAAAGTTTTATGAGTTAGGGTGCACACACTTAGCACTAGATAATCAGTACCGTGCCCAAGCAAGTTTGACCTCCCCCAAAGTTCAGTTTGTTGCTGCTCTAGAACGCTACATTTCCTTTGCCCTGCATGAGCTCAAGCACAGGACATGTGCAATGTGGACATGATGTAAAATCCATCTCGGCCTTGCATTAATCGAGAAATCCAGAAGTGTTACAAGGCTATGACCAAAGTGACTTCAAATAAGCCACAAAGTCATTAAAGTTGCAGTTATGTTCTCTGAGATGTTCTCCAACTATGAGACAGCGCTTACGTCATGATGACTTAAGTACAAGAGGTAACTGTGCTGCAATGTGAGTGCAGGCCAGTAGGGGACTGGGGAGGCCGGACAATCATGCTTTGGTATGGTATGGGGCAACTGGGCCTAGTGTGAGTGCGCCTTTAAATAACTCAATAAGCCATTTGGACTGAATCTATTCATTGTTCTGATGAAGACTGAATCTGAGGGTTGTGCTTATCTTAATAATTAATAAGAATTCCTTTGCTTACCTCTTTGCACCAAGCCATGAGGGAAGTCTGGGTTTGGTTAGGTAGTCAGATATTCACCTCAGCGGTCTTGTTTCATCCCAATGGTTTTTGAGAGAGAAAAAGCGACACCAAAAAATCACCATTGATTACGTTTACTAAAACAGTTAGTCTTATCAGGATGATTATCAGACGATTACAAGCCTTTGAACCCTATTATCTCATTTAAAGTTTTTAAGAAGGCTAACTTTGAAGGTTTGCTTGCCCTCTTCAGTCCAATATTTACTGTACGAGACTAACTGATGAGGGGCATTGTACTTAGTACACTTTGCAGACAATGCACACAGCATTGTGCATAAATACGGACACCCTCAAAAGGAAACATGAGAAAGTCTCAATGTTTTTTTATCAGTTATTTCTTAAATTAAAAATTCCACCAGCTATGCGAAACTTAAAATAAACACAACCAACAACACGACCCAACCAAACAAAATAAATAGCAGCTTTCAATAAGGGAAAGGAATTAATTATTATTAATCATTTCAATAATATTAAGCACCATAATGATAATACAAAGAAGAAATTCCCAAAATCGAGCCTCTCTCCTCTCGAGTAAAGTAGACTAATTGTGGAGGGATTTGGGGATGGGGAGATAATTATGCTCAGCCTGAAGCTTGGGAGGGCAGGGAAATGTCCTTTAGTAGATTAAGCTGCTTAAATTGTGCCTGCTTTTACTAATTGTTGGCTAAAAGAGGAGTGAAATGTAAACAGAACTTTCTTTTTATTAGATATTATCAACCTATGATAGGGAGGCACTTAGTCTGTTTCAATCTACCAAACTAACAAACTCATTTCATATGTTTGCCCTCTCTTTCTCTCTTCTGTCTTTTTTCTGTATTTGAGATAAATATTTGGCTGAAGGAAGCTGAAATAAGTCGAAGTTACACCTGAAGTCCTTACTGCTAGTTAGTTATCTCCTGGCAACGACGTTCGCGCGTGATTTGAGGGTGGGACTGAACCATATGATGTAATTTGAGAGGGGGGGTTAGAGATTATCTACGTGTTTACTTTGTCAATTTCAGAAAGAAAAATAAATCCTTTCATTAGAATCGTATTAACCAAATGTTTTATAATTGTCTAATATTCAAATATTTCGTGTGTTACAATTCACTACTGGCATAACATTGCCGCCAGGTTTGGGGGCAGGACCGAACCATAATATGCACGTCGAGGGGTGTACACAGATGCTCACTTCATGTTTACCTTTTGCACACACAAAAATAAGAAGAAAAAGAACAAAGGGAAACAATGTATTCGTATATAATCAATTGAAGAGTCTGGTATTGTGTTAAAACATTTTCGGGGGTGGCTGTTCACTAACCCCCCCCCCCTCTCTCTTTTCATGGCCAACATGGCAACATGTCATGGCTTGGAGAGCGACTGTGTTACCTTAATTGATAGAAATAATAGTTGCTTCATTCTTCTGGCATGTGTCTACTTGGAAATATAATGGAACAAAGCCATTATAAATTAAGTGTTACAATTCAAAAGCACTCGAGGATATAACTGGAAGGAAACGGAGCAGGCATGCTCGGGGAATGTGGTTTAATAACAAAAGTGTACAACAACAGCTCATGCCATCTCCTTTGGTTATTTGGGTATGATCATTCATAACACTGTGTGAGTGTGGAAGAAGGTAAATAGCCTTAAACACAAAACACACTGTTGTAATGGTGTTTTCATGTGATGGAAAACATACATAGGCTACAGCATAGTTTTGTAAATAAACTTTTCATGTGGAGGAAAGTAAAGAATATTTTTAGTTTGAGGTAAGTGTCAGACCCTGAAAAGGAGTCAACGTGCCATTTCAATGAAAGCCTAGTAAACAATAATTGTAATGTTTGCTGCTTGATTGCATTCTGGGTGTAAATTATCTTAAACATGTTGTTCTCTATTTCATCTCTTGAGAATCAGTTATATTAAGATGGAAAAACCCTCCCTAAATTGACATATATGTGGACTTAAAGCTTATTATCCCCAGGGGACGCACATCCCAGAGAAGAGCAGCCAACACAACTCACACAACTTCCTTCCCAGATTCAATGAGTCGACACCACCTCTGTAAGTGTTATGCCACGAATGCAAGCAATTGGAGGTAACACAAAGGTCAATATGAGTATAGAGAGACAGTGGAGGACAAGTCACACAGAATAATCTGGCAGACAGATTGTCCCGGGTAACTTCAGTATATTTGTGAGTGAAAAAATAATCTGTTTTCCTTTGGGTTTTATTTGTCCAAGTGGAGCACATGTTTTAGTTTGACTGTGACTTACTGTATTTACTACAGCTGTGGAAATGACTTCAACAGTTTGTATTTCCAGCAATTTTTATGTTTTAAAACAAACTATGACATAGTAGGACATGACTCCCCTCACATCAAAGGCATTTCACACTCAAACATTTGGATTCAATGATATCCCGTGTAAAGTGACAACTACCCTTCCAGTACTCAGAGTCAAGAGACAGCTTTGGAAAACATTTACCAACAAGTTGTATTTACAGTTTCTCAATGCAATTTCCGGCTATTTTCTGTATTAGTTTAGAGCAACCAAAATGTGCAGAAAATGTTTAAAACTGCAGTGGAAGTGGAACCACTCTACCTCTGGTATAAACAGATATTTCCGTTTCATGCCACGGCAGTAAATGCAACCGACGCGTCTACACAGCCGGAGCAAAGAACGGCCGGGTCTGAAGGAATGAAGAGACAAAAAGACAGTTAATGAAAACAAGGCTGGTGAGAAACTTGAACTGCATAATAACACATGGCATCCATTTGACCACATGGGTAAGACTCATGTGGAGGAATGTGTACTACGCTCGGACTGTGGTTTGACATTCTCAAAGAAATAATCATTAGAGATGTTGTGTCTTTCCTGACGTATGCTTCATTGGGTGGTAATCAAACTTTAAACACTGGGATAACCAATAAATGAACTCCAAATCTTTGACAACTACTTACTGAAACTGAACAGAGGAGATGCTAATGCAGTCCAAACTGACTCCATCCATTATCCTTTGCATTTTGTGTTCATGTTGCTGCAGGTTTTCTGTCTATTGTACTCTTGAGGTTGCAAATTCTTCCGCACATTTTGTACAAGTTGGTCCTGTTTGAAATGAGCACATTTTAGCTCAAAACGAATGATTATTTTTGTTTACAGACTCATAAGAAATATTCAGGATAATGGTGTTAGTGTATGCACGACAGCTGTTGTTGCTAGCAGTACTGACAAGATCTACAATAAACATGCCAAAGTATTACAACCCCCCTCCCATGTCCAGCTGCATCGTGTTGGTGTGCTCGGACATCTTTAGAGAGAGAAATCAGGATGGAGGATGCGGCGCAGACTCTGGAGGACCCGCACAGTCTGAACAACTGCAGTGAGCAGGTGTTTCTCCTCTCCCTGAGCAACTCTGAACTCTCCAGAGGTTAATCAATAAGAAGCATTTTGGTGATTTTTCCATTAAGAAACGATCTCAGAAGACACTGGGTGTAGCATTTTTTAATTTAAGCAAAGATTTACTCAA